TACCAAGACAATGATGGTACTATTTTAATTTAGATACGTGCAGTAGGGTACGTATATATCAATGGTACCATTTGCTTTGCATTTAACTGTTTCTGTTGAATTGTAACTGTAAAAGCAGTTAGGCATGAGGCAGCATGTTTCCTTCCCCTTTTTCACTCTTTCACCTAATTCTACATGTGTTTCTTTGCACTGTGAGCTTGACCACAGAGATTTACATCCTCCCATGGGTGCATTTGAGGTGATTGGCCCATGATGCATCTGTTCATACTAGTGCTACTTAAGTGTCAGTGTAAGTGTGCTTACAGTAGTTATTTTGCTGCAGACAATGATAGACAAAAAAAAAGAAACTAATTGATTTGACATTTTTATTGTTTAAGGAATTTGGAAAGAGCACCTGCAAACATTCATAAAGAGCTCCTGTGCTTTAAAAACTAATCTATATTTAAATTATGGTATATTATAAAATGCACTGTTCTGATTGGATGTTGCTGTCGTAAAAGCTGATCTGTTACTGCACGTTTAAGATTAATGCATGTGATTCTTCATTGCTTGGCAAGCATAAACAGGCTAAAGTTAGACCAATTGTCACGGTGTGGTGCGGGAAAGAAGCACGTAAACGAGGAAGATACAATAAACAGTCTTTAATACTTCACAGAAGGGTAATCCACAGCAGGGTAACAGCAAACACACACACACCAGGGTAATTCAGACGTATTCCATAGACGAGACCGGACAACCAAACACTGAACAGACTGCAACTTATATGGGGAACGTAAATGAGGATAATTGACACGAAACACCTGAACATGATGACACAATCAAGGGGAGACAGAAACTAGGTCAAAGAATACGAGGGATGAAAATGAAAACAAACACAAAAGTCCATAAAGTGTGGCACCAATGAACTATGTTCATTTGTATGAATAATTCTGACTCTACTGTTCAAAAGTTTTGGGTCAGTAAGATGTTTTTTTAAAATAAATTAATACCTTTATTCAGCAAAGATGCATTAAATTGGTCAAAGGTGACTGCAGATATTAAAATATTACAGAATATTTCTATTCCAAATAAATACTGTTCTTTTAATCTTTAAATTAATCAAATAATCCTGAAAAATGGATCACTGTTTCCACAAAAATATTAAGCAGCACAACTGTTTTCCACATTGATATGTACATAAGAAATGTTTCTTAAGCAGCAAATCAGCATATTAGAATGATTTCTGAAGGATCATGTGACCCTGAAGGCTGAAGTAATGGCTTCAGCTTTGCCATTAGAGGAATAAATTACATTTTAAAATATATTAAAATAGAAAACAGTAATATTTCACAATAGTATACTGTATATTACAGAACATTATATTATAATATTATATTGTATTAAAAACAATAACATTTCACCAATATTACTTTTATAATAAATATTAGTGAACAAATAAATGCAGACCTGCTGAGACATCTTTAAAAAAAAACACCAAATCGTAACCAACCCCACACTTTTGACCGGTAGTGTATTAATATACTAATTAATGCAAATAATAGTTTTAAATTGAAATTGTATTTAGTCATATAGGCTAATTATAGGTTTGTAAACATTCGGGATGCGTGTGCATCATGGTTGCAGAAAACCCGGGAGAGATAGCCTTTACGGCTAGAGAAGAATAAAATAATAAAAAATAAAAAAAAAAGGTAAATTTGATTTTATATTTAAAAAATCCCGACTTTATTCTCGCAATTCCGAGATTATATCTCACAATACTGATAAGGAAAAACAACTTGTCACTCTCTCTTTTCCCCTCGGCTCATAATATATAGCCCACACTTCTGGCTTCTTTTTTCCCTCAGAATTGACAAACTCACTATTTTTGAGTTAAATCGAGTTATAAAGTCCAAATTAGGAGATATAAACATGCATTTGCGAGAAAAAGTCAGAATTGTGAGATAAAAGAAATAAATGTTGTGTAAAATGTTAATTGTAATAGGTTTAAATAATATTTCATGCTGTAACTGTAGGGCTAAGTTAATACAATACGTCCCCTATGAACTGCATATGTGAATATTATGTAGACCTATTGAGTACCTACCTATGTAGACCTAGAGTAATCATAGCAGTTTTCATTCATAGTATGTCCGTTTAAACGTCTGCGTTTAACTTCAAATGGTGTTTTTGACGACAGTATTCTATAAAAATTATTTGCATTCCAATTCTGATATCCAAAGGCACAACAATAAATAGTTTTCTCTTATTCCATGGATTTTACCCGTTTCCCTCTACTTGTTCCCGGTGTTTTTCTGCCACCACAATGCACGCGCAGCTGCATGTGACGTAACTGTGACGTCTACTCCAAATTGGTCTATACACTGACCATCTGCTGAAAAAGAAAAGAATATTTATGTTCTTTGTAAATATGTCATGCTCATTATGATATCAACGTTTTATGCTGGTCCAATCTCAGGACACTTATACACCTGTTAATGTTTCATTTAACCATTTAAATCAGTCAGTGTATCGCTCCTGTTTTCTGAATCTCTCTCTCTATCTCTCTCTCTCTCTGAGAGTCCATGACATCATGGACCCGCTCGAACCGTGAGAAAGCAGCACTTAGCCCAATTGGATTTTAGAGATGGTCACTGAACAACACATCATTTATTTATCTCTTAAGTAATGGTATAAAAAGAAAGAAAACGAGAGAGCACACAAAAAGAGCATGAGCATAAAAAAAGCCACTCAAAGCCATTTCTCTTTCGAGATGCCTTTATCGTTTGCATCAGATCACAGCTATCAGTGAATTTATGTTTATTCCACTTCAAACTTGATTTATAATGCAATGGATGAATTGCATGCAGAAGGTGCAGCAAATGATAAAAACAAGTTTTATAACACATACTCAAAGTGTTTCGTTTATGTGTGTGTTTGTTTGCTCAGCAGTCATTGCATGCCAACAGTCGTACGGCCATCTCTCACGCTCAGATTAACTGTTCTGTAGGGAGCCGCGGCAGGGCTGAATATTATATGTCCTGCATTAATTCTGTTAGGTAAAAAGGACATCTGCTGCCGTAAACCGAACGCACACGCACATCACTCGCAGCAGTCACAGTTCACTCTTTCAGAGGGATGTTTATTTGGTCCCACTTCTCAGAAAAGCTTTAAGCCACCAGTGATCCTACACCCACATCCATTTGTATATGATGAAAACATCATCACTTAAAGTCTGAAGCCTGTCTGTGTGTGTGCGTGTGTGTGTGTGTGTTCATGAGAAGTACCGTGAATGCTAAGGCTGTGTGACTGCTAGTATAGTGTAGTGGTGATGGTTTTTTAGATGAATGTTTGATACTTCAAGACTGAGGCTTTATGTCATTTCTGAGAATCATGCTTTGGGGCTGTCAGAGGGATTGAATGCTTTCTGGGTAGAAGATCGACATGCATTCACTCTGAGTACTGAATTCACAAACTTGTCCCATAGAGGTTATGGCTGGACCTTATAAAGGCCTGTGAAAGGAACATAATTTGCATATATAAACACCCTGGGTCATTCGTACTTTCTTCATCTTTCATTATATTTTCGAAAATTTTCTTTAGTTTGAGGTCTGGCTCATTTGAGACAAGTAGCACACACTTGGCACAGTGTGATCTTGGACTGAGGATATGTTATGTGTAAGAGCGGTGTGTGTTTATGTGAGACTGATCTGACCCAGCAGGAGTGCCTGCATTGCGTTCATGATTTGAATTCCTACTAGCAGATCCCTGCTGCTGCAGATAACTGTGTTCGAGTGCACGTGGGCATTCTTTTTAAGTAGGGTGTTGTCTGGAGTCATGTAGACAACTCTAGTTAAGATGCTTGACTTTTACAGCCGGCCCACGTTAAAAGCCCTGCTTTTCAATGCTGACACTTCTCTGTCCCTCTTCTCTTTATATCACATGATCATTTCTCTATCCTAAATGGATGTGCGTAACATCATTGTTTATGGCCCGAGAATAACTATATATTTGTATTATGTATTTACGCAGCTGAAACAGTTTGTGTATGTTTGTGTGTGTGTGTGTCCGTTTGAGTTCCCTCCCATAGAACTCTCTAAAGGTTTCCCAAAGAGGCTATGACCTTGTATCCTTTTAGAGATCGATGCTCAATATCCCAGGATGGGCATTTATATTAATCTCAGCCGCTTCCTTTATAGAGTGGACATCTTCATGCCCATTACATGTACACACAGTCATTAACTATATTCTGGCTAATAATAGGGCAATAGGCTTAATATTGATTATATGACACTGAACAGTTGCATTGGTCATGTCCGTCTCAGGGTTATTTGATCACATCAGTCTTTTCCATTTAATGAAAGTGAAAAGTGACTGTCAAGCTTCAAAATGACAAAAAAGCACTATAAACACATCATGAAAGTGATCCATATGATTAGTGTGCTAATATTCCAAGGCTTCTGAAGCCGAACAATAGCTTTGTATGAGAAATTTACAGTACAGTTCAAAAGTTTGGGGTCAGGGGGAAAAAAATGTTTTTTTAAAGAAATTGACAGAAAAGTGACAGTAAAAACATTTATAATGTTACAAAAGATTTCTATTTAAAATTATGCTGTACTTTTGAGTACTGAAAAAAAGTATCACGATTTCTACAAAAATATTAAGCAGCACAACTCCAAATTATTATATTAGAATGGTTCTGAAGGATCATGTGACACTGAAGACTGCTGAAAATTCAGCTTCCATGAGAATAAATTGCATTTTAAAATATATTCAAATATATTTGAATTATTATTGTAATTCAATATGTATTATGTTATTTTAAATTGTAATAGTATTTCACAATATTACTGTTTGTATTTTTGATCAAACAAACTTTTTTCAATAACAAAAAATATCTTACAGACCCCAAACTTTTCAGCGGTAATGTAAGTGATTCTTCACTGATAATGTTTGTGTTTTGACACTTGTGGAGATGCAGGTGTTAAATGTGCTGAGCTGTTCTTTCTGTGTTTGATCCTCAGATCATCAGAAGCTAGAAAGAGAGGCCCGCATCTGCCGTCTGCTCAAACATTCCAACATAGGTGAGTCTCAATAGTATGCTTGTGGTCAATCAGCCCTCTACGAACACCAAGGAACAATCTAAAATGCAAGTTATTGTTCATTGTTAATGACTCCCTAGTAGCCACAGTTGTTCATGTGACACACAATCACCAGTGGTGTTGACAGCTGTAAGTCAAATATAGTTCTTTTTTGATACTTTAAATATGTTTTTTTTTTGTCCTTGGCAGTGTAAATCATGTGTTTCTTGTAATGCAAACAGAAGCTAGACATTCTGCTTGACGTTTCCTTTTTTGTAGCCTTGGTTTTCTTCTTTCTAGGAAGCGTTTGTCCTTTCCCTCCCTCATACTCTCTTGTCTTTCCTCCCTCATTTTTTTCTTTCTCATGTATTCTCTCCCTTCCATTCCCAGTGGCCTAAATGTGTCTTTTGTACCTTTTACTGTCTAGCCATCTTGAACGGCCCTTTCTTCTTCTTTCTCTCTCTCAGGTTGTCATGTTTTCTGCATGGACTGCCAATAAACTCCTAACAAAAAGAGCAATCAAGTGTGTGTAGGAGAGAGAGAGTATTCTTAAGGAGCACATCGCATATGGCGGCAAAGACTCGAGCTAATACACACTTGTTCTTTTTCTCTCCTTTTGTCTTGAACATACACAACACATGCAGGGTAACTTACAGCCTTTGTACATGTTATCAACAGTGGGGTTTGTTGTCAACAAACCCTCTTCCAAAAACTAGCAGATATGAGTGCATGACTGCAGTCGGCTCACAGACGCACGACAAGAGCAGATATGCATCCCTGTGGAGCTCTTTAATAGTGTGAAAACCCATAACTTCATAATACAAGTAACCATAATAAAAGTAAATGTTCAGAAATGTAAAAAAAAAAAAAAATGGGATCAGTAAGGTTTTTGTTTTTGAAAGAAGTCTCTTACTGTATGTTCACAAAGGCTGCCTTTATTTGATTAAACAATGCAATAAAAACTGTAATATTGTGTAGCAGCTGTCATTTTTTTACAGTATTCAGTTAAGGTAGAAATCTTTATACATTAGCATTAGGTGTCTTTACTGTGACATTTGATCAATTTAATACTTGCTGAACGAAAGTATTAATTTGTTTTAAAAAACTTTTGAACGGTATTGTATTTATTTTACATATTTATTTTATATATGAATATATTTTATCCACCTTATTTTTCAACGCGGAAGTAAGACGTTTTCTGTGAATGTGTGAGACTTTCGGTTCATTAGCCGCGGTAGGGAAATAACGAGTAGAATAACAAAATACAGTAAACGGTATAACCCTTTTCACTACAAACCAGTGTGTTCATAATTAAGATAATACATTAACATAATGGTCAAATCACTGGTAAGACACCAGTTTGCAATATGAAGCAGCAAAACAAGCTGTTTTGTACAGCTAAAAATAGCTGGAAGCAAATGACACCGGAAGTCAGTCCCATAAAATTTACAAATGGCCACGCCTGCTCTTATGGGAAAAATAAGGTGGATACACATTCACAGCTACGTTACTGCAAAACACACATATGCATGCGACACGGCTAGTATTACTTTTTTCCAATTTTAGTGCTATACCAGTAAAGTATAGCACTAGTTCAAGTCAAAAACATTAGGGCAATATGTTCAGAAAGAATCATCTTCATCAGAGTACAGCACACATCGGCTCTGTCCACACCTCTCTCAGGCCAACCTGTTAAAATCGCTCTCCATTCAAACACTGTTCACAGCACCTTCAGTATGAATTGTGTTAAAACGCAGTCCTCCAGTCAGAATGTGTGTTTGTGTCAGCGCTGTGGGTGATCCTGGGTGGATGTGGAGATAATATAATTCTGCTTTGCCCTCTCTGCCCTCATTTAGCACAGCCACCTCCCTCACATGGCTGAGATTAATATACGCTGTCATTTACACAGACCCACACACAATGAGAGCGAACCGAGGGTCTCTTAATGGCTGCATGAGAGAGATCTGGCAGGTGCACTGTTTCAAATCTGTAACAACCGATGACAAATTCATTACCTTCAATCAGGATAACAAATGTTCCTTGCTTTACTTGCTGTGCCACCGCTCCCTCTGTAAAGCAAAGACCAGAATTCCTTCTCTGAGACGAATGATGTCCTATGCTGAGTTTTATTTGTTAGGTATTTGGAGTTGCTTTTTATGAACGTTTCAGATGGATCAGTTATGAGGTTCATTTCAGCTAGGATGGTGCCTTAGAAGGCATTATGCAGCAAGGTTGGGATTTGTAATGAGGATGACTTCATGGGCAGGTTAAGAAAAGGATAAAAGCTCCTTCTGTTCATCCTGCTTATGTTGTTTCTCTGTCTTACCTCATTCTCTCTTTCTGTTTTCCCTCAACAGTGCGTCTCCATGACAGTATCGCAGAAGAAGGCTTTCATTACCTGGTCTTTGACCTGTAAGTATCTGAGTCCGACAGTGTGATCTTCTGTTGAGATGAGGCCTGTATACTCACACTTTCCACTTCCTTTCAGCCTTGTTTGGCAGTAATTAACTTTGTTAATTAACTTCGTTAATTACAGGAAAATGTAATTGAAGTATGACGATTAAACTTTATTCTCTAGCCAGTAGGCCCATTTCTCTGTACCATATATTTCGGAATTCTTTTGCTTAAGTTATGCTGACATCATTTTAAACAATTATCAGAGTCTGACGTGTTGTTGAGATGTAGACTCCTCTGCATAACTGTAGTGTGTGTGAGAGCAAGACATAAATGTAAGTGTATGTGTGTGTAGATTGTGACTGTATGGCCCTCTCTCAGGGCTCTTGTGTCAGGACGCTGATAGCGCTCGCCCAACACTAAAGTGCCGCCCCGTGGTGATAAAACTCTCCATTAGCCACATACTCCTCTACAGGCCTCGTGCTCTTTATAGTTTATAGCTGAATGGAACCGCTGTGGGTTCTCCATACTTGAGTTGTTGATAAAGCCTGTATTTCTTCCTGTAGTGTGACTGGTGGAGAATTGTTTGAAGACATTGTCGCAAGAGAATATTACAGTGAAGCAGATGCAAGGTAAGTTTAAAAATTCACCTAAAATCATATCAGCGTTTAGTTGTAATTTATAAATAATATACACTACTACCGTGGGTCAGTTTGGGGTCACTAAGTCCGAAAGAACTTTGTACTTTTATTCAGCACGGATGCATTAAATTGATCAAATTTAACAGTAAAGACACTTGTGTGAAAAAAGAACAAAAGATTCAAATACTTTAAATGTTCTTTTCAGAGAATACAAAAAAAATCACAATTTCCACAAAACTGTTAAGCAGCACAACTGTTTTCAACATTGATAATAAGAAATGTTTATTGAGCACCAAATCAGCATATTAAAAGGATTTGTATAAATAATATATTATGTAATATATACAATAATAAAATATTTATGGATTTTTTTTCTGTAAATACTATGGTACATCAATCTCATAGTCTTTTCTTTAATTCTTTACTCAAAGTGCCATGGTATTACTTTCTGCTGCCATCACTGTACCATGGCACTACCACAGTGCTTTTGTAAGGCCTTAGTGAAAATATTCTGTCTCTAACACTGCCCTTTGGTCCCAGACAGCGAGACAATCATTAAATGCCAAGGTTACGCAACTAATTATTAAACATGATATTTTTATTTCAAATAATGTCAAACTATGTAAATACTCTCAGTGCTTTAACAGGGATGGCAGCTGACCTGAAATGTGGCGTTATTTTTAACCTGCTGCCTGGATAGGCATCTCCTTAAATTAAAACTGACTGTCTGCACTTCAGTCCATTTCCACTTCATATTCAGCACTAAGCCGGAACAACAAAATTAGTGTTACTTTCCAGTTACTTTTGGAAGCCACTCTCCAGACTTGCAGCATGAAGGCTGCTTCTGAGAGTTTGCATCAAGGGGGAGAACAGAGAGAGTTTTTACTGGAAAGTGCCTCCGAAATGGGATGGAATGGAATGCAGTCCACAGATTTGGCCAAATTTGGACACAAGAAATGCCTTCCTCGCCATCCTTCCTCAAGAGAGCTTTAGGGAATATCTAATGGGGCTCTTTCTTTACTTGACTGCCATTGCTTTTCTTTCTTCAGGCTCTCTCTTTTTTGCTCTCTCATTACATAAACCGAATCATTCGGAAATTTATTATTTTTCAAGTTCCAAACAAACAAAAAATCTCTCAAAGAGATGTCATCCCCACCCAACTCGCCCTCTGTCCTCGGGCCACGACCTTTTGAACAGGTTTCAGAGCTCTATAATGAGCTGCTCCACTCACTGCATTTAGAAGCATTCCAGCTTCACCGGTGCTTGATATTTCTGTCCCCTCACTGTCTATGGAAAGACTTCTGCGCAACACATGCACGTCTGTGTAGTATTACTGGGATATATATATATATATACATACACACATTAACTATTGTTCAGAAGTTTAGGGGTGGTAAGATTGGTAAGATTTTTGTCTGTTATTCTCATCCAGGCTGCATTTATATATACACAAACATACCTGTACATACATGCATACATACAGTGGGTACGGCCACTGTACATACACACACGCATTCAGCTTCAGGAATTTGTTTTGCCATTTGGATGACATGGTAAATGTATTTTCATTTCCATCCTGGAAAGCTTCTCTGGCAGCTTTGAGAACCACAAAACAAACCAGATTATTTATCTGTTCATGCAAAGCTCAGTCTATCTGCACAGGCCAGATTCTGTAGCTGGATTTCTTGCACCCAGTCTTCTATCTGGAGTTAGATCCTTGTACTAATGCCTGGGTTTCTCTCCCTAATCCAACCCTCTTTTCCTCCCCTCTGCTTTCTGTTTCTCAGTCATTGCATCAATCAGATCCTGGAAAGCGTCAGCCACATCCACCAGCATGACATTGTGCACAGGGACCTCAAGGTGAGTCATGCCGTCACTGTGGCAACATGCCAATACGGGAGCTTGCGTCATCCAAGCCCTCCTCCTCTTGGCAACCCTGTGGCGTCATTTGCACACACTCAGACATGTGCTTGCAACATTAAACGCTGTGTGGACACAAACTTGACACCGGAGAACATGTATGCCGTTTGATTGTGTTATTTCATTCTCTTGACGTCAGAGCTCGGCCGGTTGGCTGTGGCTAATCCTGAGGGGTCATTTGATAAGCACAATGCAGAAAGCAAACAAAGGAACATTTAATGGATGATGGAGAGATTTGTTCTTTAAATGCCATCATTCAATGTGAACCTCATATTGGATTGAAATTGAAATAGTGTTTCCTTGTTGCTTGTCAGAGTTTACAATGATTTTCCTTTGTATCTCCACATCTTCCTAGGAGTAGATGTAGATGTAGTAGAGCCTGTTTAGGAGGTGAAATTGTGTTTGTTCAAGTTTTTTTTTTCTTACAATAATAACTGATGAAACACATAATAGATCAGTGGCATGTGGTGGACAAAAATGTGTAACCCCACCCCTACTAAAAAAAAAAAAAAAAACACTGAACCATTACTTTCTGTATTTGTTCACCTCTTGAAAAGTAAAGACAGACAGAGGAGTACTGGAGGCAGGCCGGTTGCTATGGAAACCTGTGTGATGTCATGGTGGCTGCAGAGTCATGGCATGATGGTGAGCGTGTCTGGTGGGGAGTCATTTTGCCTCCTCTAATTCATCAGAGGGAAAGAGACAGAACTGTTGAACAGACAGACAAGGAGGAAAAGGAAAACTAGATAGAGAAAGAATGTTTAGGAGGGAAGAGAAATCCCTAGAGTTGCAGGACAAAGGCATTGGGCGCTGATTTTTATTGAAGGAGTAAGGATGAAGTTCACAGATAAAATATATGTAAATATTATATGAAAAACTAGAAATGCTGCCTTGGCAACTAACTGATATAAATATGAAGAACTCAAATTATTAAAACTAAAACTGAAATAAATATAAATTAAAGCTAAATAGAAACATTTTAAAAACTAATAAAAATGACAAAAGTATATAAAATTATTAAAATATACACTAATATGAAAATGGAAACCAAAAATATAAAAATAAATAGAATTAATAATTACTAAATACTATAATAGTATATAAGTAATACTAAAATAACACTCACTTGTTTATCCCTTTAAATTAAGTGGGAAAAAACAGTCGTAGAGAATTAGCCAATAAATGTGCAATAAATTTTTTATTATTTGCAGTTTGTTTTATTGTTGATACTAGGATATGGTGAGATGTGATGCCTAGCACTTAAAACCTTTTTTAGTGTTTTTATTTCACAACATAATACATTAAAAACCATTAAAGGCAGTTTAAAAACATTTGAGCGAATCCCTACATGGAATATCTGCTGCATGAGTTACCAATCCTGTTTTAATTTGGCTTATGACTAATCTAGCTATGTCAGCATCCCCTAATTAACATTCATTAAAATATGATGTGACATCACAGAAAGTCTGTTGTGTCCATCCTACTATAAACGTGTTGGCGCAGTTTTTGCAGGATGACTGCAGTGTCCAGGTCAGGGCTGTGCCTGCAGCATTCAGAGGCAGCGGGGTGTGCAGGACAGCAGGGCGAGAGAGCAGCTCACCCCTGCTCTCGTAGCATGAGATAACAAGCCCTCCTCTCTGTCTCTTCATGAATTATGCAGCTTAGAGCAATGAGCGTGCTGTCACAGCTATCCATCCGCTTTACACATAGACACACACACACCAGTGAGATACTAGACACCTCCAGACACCACATGCAATCTCTCTCTTCTTCTCTCTCACATGTACAAGCATGCACACCATTTCTGTCTCTCTCACTTGATGCACACTGTAGTTCAAGTCCGGATCTCAGTATTCCTACAATGTGACGATGAAAGACTCTCCTCATAGAACATGCTGGATACGTTTACGTCCTTTTATGCAGATCACAGCTGATTAAATTCAGCGTCGGTAGGCTTGATAATCACCTTTAGCATAATCATACACAGAATGAATGAGCAGCCATGTGGGAGTGAATGCCCATGAATTGCACTTCATAATTCTTTTGGCTCGTGCTACTGGTAATTTTACTTTCCCTATTTTTATATTTGTATTACCTTTTTTGTCATCTAATCTTGAAAACGCTTAATTTAATAACACTGTTAATGCAAATGTCAAAATGAATATCCAAGTCCAGTCACCTTTATTCAAATAGCGCTTTATGCAATACAGATTGTGTCAAAGCAGCTTTACAGTGTTAAACAGAAAAACCGTGTGCTGATAATGCAAGAGGACAATAGAAAACAGTCAGTTTATCAGATAAAGTCAGTTCATTGTTGATTCAGTGATGTCATCATCCAGCTCAGTTCAGTTCTCTTCCTATAGTGTCTGTGCAGTCAAGTCAACAATGTTGCCAGAAATTGTCCCCAACTAAGCAAGCCAAAGGTGACAGTAGCAAGGAAACTCCATCAGTGACAGAAATGGAGAAAAAATACCTTGGGAGTTCTCCTCTGGCCAGACGAAACCAGCATGGTGTGGTTTAATTCCAGGCTGCAACGCAAGTCAGATTGAGCAGAGGACTCGTCTGGTTCTCGTGGTCTTGTGCCAATGGCCGACGAGGTCTTCACAGGGGGCATTTGTCTCTTGGGTTCATCTAGTTGACATGGTCTCCGCTGACATTCAGGGCTGTAGAGGTCATCTCTAGGTCCTGATCCACCATCTGGACTGGATACAGACTGGATCCAGATGACTGCAGTGACCATCTGATCTGGATACGGACTGGATCTGGGTGGCTACGGTGACCTCGGAATAAGAATAAAACAGACAAATATTAGCATAGATGCCATTCTTCTTACAATGTAACAAGTACATTGGGTGTTATGGGAAGTGTTCCCGGTTCCGGTTGTCCTATTTAATGCAGCCTAACAATCCTTTAACGGATTTGAATTATAGAAAAGGGATTGTGTGTTATGTGTATGGCAGGTTAAAGAAATGGGTCTTTAATCTAGATTTAAACTGACAGAGTGTGTTTGCCTCCTGAACAATGCTAGCTCGCTCAAGTACTGAGGAACTAAACCATTCAGGGCTTTATTAGTAATGAGCAAGATTTTAAAATGTGTACAATGTTTAATAGGGAGCCAGTGCAGAGTGGACAGAACCGGGCTAATATGGTTATACTTCCTGTTTTAGTAAGAACTCAAGCTGCTGCATTTTGGACCAGCTGGAGTTTGTTTAATAAGCACACTAAGCAACCACCCAAAAAAGCATTACAATAATCTAACCTTGAGGTCATGAACTCATGAATTAACATTTATGCATTTGACATTGAGAGCATTGGTCGTAATTTAGATATATTTTTAAGATGGAAAAATGCGGTTTTAAAAATGCTAAAAACATGACTTTCAAAGGACAGGTTGCTATCAAATAGCACACCTAGGTTCCTAACTGATGACGAAGAATTGACAGCACAGTCATCAAGTGTTAGACAGTGTTCTAGTTTATTACATGCAGAGGATTTTGGTCTGATAATTAACACCTCTGCTTTTTCAGAATTTAGCAGTAGGAAATTACTAGTCATCCAGTTTTTATGTCAGCTATGCATTCTGTTAGTTTTGCAAATTGGTGTTTCGTCGGACCACAAAGAAATATAGAGCTGAGTATCATCAGCATAACAGTGAAAGCTAACACCATTTTTCCTGATGATATCTCCAAGGGTAGCATGTAAAGCGTGAAAAGCAACAGTCCTAGTACTGAGCCTTGTGGTATTCCATACTGCACTTGTGAACAATATGATACTTCTTCATTCACTGCCACGAATTGATGACGGTCAGATAAGTATGATTTGAACCATGCCATCCCTATATTTTCATACTGTACACTATAATTTAGTGATGTCTAAATATACTTGAAGCATTCAGAACAAGTTCTGTTAGGTTTTAGTGTTATTTTTATTTCATTTAGGTGAAATGGTATAAAATAATAAAGGTGTGGTCACATTTACAGTTGTGTGTGGAAAAATGTAAGTGAAAATATAAAAATAAAAGCTAATCCAAAATGTTATTAAATTCTATAATAGTATATAAATAAATACTTGTAGCATTCAAAACAAGTTGTTTTGCGATTAGGAATTTTGCATGAGGGTGAAGAATTTCTCCACACAGATTTTGCAATAGAAAGCTGCTTGGTTTGAAAGTGACTTCTGTATGAGCTGTACATCATTACATTATTGACAATAGTCAGTGGGCCTATTTTGCCCTGTACAATTTTGCACGCTACGAACACTCACAACAGACAGAAATGGCACACTGCAGCTTTATGTTTTAATGTTAAAATCACAATATTGGAGATTTCAGTTCTGATGTGCCCATTTTTGTTCTTGTCTCCTCCCTCACTTTATTGCTCACTATTCTTACTTTCTTCTCTCCTGCCCTTTTCTCTGTCATGCGTACTCCTGTAGCCAGAGAACCTGCTGTTAGCCAGTAAGATGAAGGGGGCAGCAGTGAAGTTGGCTGATTTTGGCCTTGCCATCGAGGTGCAGGGAGATCAGCAGGCCTGGTTCGGTAAGACTCCTCTGCTTTTCCTTCAACTCATTGGTAGCCTCATCTCTTAAAGGGATTTGACTTGAAGCCATTCTAGATCATCCTGAGGCAAGACTGAATTAAATTCAACAGCCCAAATGAATTTCTCTGGTTTCTCAAACAAATATTCAAAGCCCTGAAAATGTATCCGCTCATTTAGATGCCACTGGTGCTCGTAAACTCATTCTGAAAGCTGACTTTCAACCAGCAATGATTTTTCTTAATGCTCTGTTTGCTCTCAGTGACATCTGTGACTCTTGTTGGGACTAGAGAGCTCTGGAGAGTAGCCAGCTTGTGTTTTTACTCTGTGCTCTTGGGAAATATGGAGTAGTTTTCTCAATGTTTACTGTCCTTTTTGAGTCAAGACTACTCACTTGAACCAAGTCAAAGGTTACAGACGACAAAGCCAGTGGACAAATTGGATTAAGCTTGTCCAACATCATGGGAATTTTTTATGTGCGTTTCATATTTCACAGCATTATAAGAAAGTGTTTTTTTTTTGTTTTTTTTTACAAAAACAAAACAATTTTTGTATTTTAGTTTATTTTATGCTAATTGAAATGTTGTTGCCTTATTTGTAATGCTCAGAATTTGGTTATCATAAAGAGATTGTGTTGAAGATTTAGTGATTTGAAATCTGTTCATTTTAGATATTAAATGTAAGTAATCACACTCTGGCCTTACAGGTTTTGCAGGCACCCCTGGATACCTCTCCCCTGAAGTCCTGAGAAAGGATCCCTATGGCAAACCAGTGGATATCTGGGCTTGTGGTAAGATTTTCACCTGTTTTATTTAGTGTTCACATTAAAATGATTCCAAGACTCTCTTTGGTCTGGTGTCTTATAGTGTTGAGTATTTGTCCAATTTTGTGAATAATCAGTGTAAAAAATATGTGATTCAGTCTCATTACTTTGGAAGAACAGTGGACTAGTACTAGTATGAAGTTACCTATTTATGTGTCCTGGGCAGGTGTGATCTTGTATATCCTGCTGGTGGGTTACCCTCCTTTCTGGGACGAGGACCAGCACAAACTGTATCAACAGATCAAGGCTGGAGCCTATGACGTGAGTAATCACACTCACTGTTTGCCTTAATGAGCTCTCACTGCTTTATAATCTAATGACTCTTTTAAATCTAATCAGACCTGAATATTTGTTCATATCCACATTACTATTCAAAAGTTTGGATTCGTTGTTCGAAATCTTTTGTTATAATAATAATAAAAGTATTAAAATCTTTTTAAAATATCCCACTCATTTCAATTTCAAAAGTATCCCACATTTGATTGGTAGTGTACATGTGTGAAAGGAACACTTAAAGTTTTCACATCACATGTCTTTTTAAATTCCAAAATGAACCTTGGGTCGACCAGTTGCACCATTGTATTTTTTTAGACATATTTTTAAGCTACAATCATCCAACCTAAATGTTTCGTCACCCAGTGTATTTGTGTTTTACAATTTATAATGTTGTTGATTCATATTTATATTGTGAGGAAGATACTTAAAAAGAACTTTGATTTAAAACTCAGGATTGAATTTATATATAACTAAAAAAGACAAGTAAACAGTCAGTAATAAAATAAGAATAGATAAATGACAAGCAATGGCACAAACAAGTACAATAACAAGACTAAAATGAACTGTGCTTTAATTTTTTCAGCTATAACAGTAATATCCAGGTACAGAAATACCACAGAAACTGAATAATCTATTTAACTTTAAAATAACACTGGTTAGTCTTCAATGTATAAATAGACATTAATGACAGACAGCAGCAGGTTTATTTAGTTTGCTGTCTCTTTAAGACCACATGCACGGATCTAACTGTTACACATAAGTTTTGTTTCTCAACTGTTTACATTCACTTAATAGCCTATATACCGACAATGTTTAGTATAAATCAACTGTTTACGTGAATACTCATCAAGACGGGCATTTTGAGATAATTTTGTACGTATCTGGCTGTTTACGCGCAATAAGGCGCAACACAACTTTATTCTGTAGTCGCGCGCTCTCAGATGCGGCTCTATGTGCGCGCGCTTTGGGTGTGAGCTCACAGAAAGGGGTCTCACAGAGAGCGCGCAAGTACTGAATTGAGCACTTCAAAGTTTAAAATTGAAATACTCAAAAGCATGTGCAAATGATACATTCCATCATCTGTCCAAAGCATCTTTCACGCTGAAATTTCCTGCGGAAACTGCGGGAATCAATAGAATATGTGCAATCCCGTGCCGAAATTCAATTCAACGTATCTGATGTAATTAAAGTAGGCGCTTACAAAACAGGCATGTCGAACAAAAGGTCTGTTTATTTTAGCTGTGCTCAGCTCAACCAGGAACAGAAAGTGAAAGCCCTTTTATTAGACCTGTCTTTTATTGCCCATAAGCATGTTGACAAAGATGCTCTCATGGCCCCATACAGAGATTTTAGTGCCACCACATCGACCCAGAGTGGCAAACCCAGATTGAAGCCGTTGTTAATATTTAATTGGTTGGGATAGGGAGCAGAGTTACTCAATAATAAATTATGGCAGCCCCCTCCTCTAGAGCTCAGCCGAGAAACATACAGGAGTCTTCATCATCATCATCACCACCTCAAATCCTAGAAGAAAACCAGTTTAGAGTGGGATATTTCCTATTAACACTATTCTATATAGCTTATATGAGGTTACAACAATCTTGCAGATGGCATAGTGTCATATTTTTGTCTGTCAGCGCAGTGACCAGCTGTAGCTCAAAGCTGCTGTTTGTAAACAATCTAGCATGATTAAAGTATATGGATTCACCCTAATTTTATTTCATTTGTGCTTTCACCATCCCTTTTAGTCCAGAAAGGCTCTCTAAGTGCATTGGAGTGTAGCATGTTTGTAGTGTTTGTTTGTTGTATAGTGCCATTGTCCATTTGATGGAGTGCTGCGGTGTGGGAAAGATGTGATTACGAAGGCCAGTTTTGGTTTCAGCATTTTCAGCCATCCAGGTGAAAAACACCACTTTGCCATCCATCGCTTTAGCTGCTCTGCTTTAATCTTATTAAAATCCATTACAGGCCATGGACGCCATTGATCTGTGTGTTTGTCCATGTCTGTATACATTTGAGCCCTCTGTTTCATACAAAAGTCTGGGACTAGTGAAAATGTTTCTATTTTTCATTATTTCCTAATGTAATACATGCGTTTTCATTAGTTTATATTATCAGCATCAGCATAAAGTTGATGTAACATTCATAATATCTTAGTACCTGGTTTGTCCCCCTTTTGTTTTCACGTGGAACTTCATGAACTGAAGTTTGTGTAAACCCTGATGATCATGTTCATGTTGAGCTTCACTGGAAGAACATCGTTTGTACACATGATCACTGTCACAAATATATCTATGATTAGTGACCTAGAACTATTAAATTCATGTTTATTTCTGTAGAGCTTTTCAAAATACATATCCTTTTAAAGTAGCTATACAGAAAATTTGTGTTTAAATGTAAAAAATGTCATTGGGCCTTAGTTTGTTTATGAATAAATGTGAAATGTTTCTTATACATTTTTTTCATCATAACATTTTTGTTATAATTGTTTCAAAATCTTTCTTTTCATTTCCAGGTTTAAATGAAACAAACCACAGCTTTTCACTGTAGACCTCACTGTATATCAAGAAAACTCAGTCATCTTCTCTTTCTCTTGTCTTTTCATGTCTTAGTTTCCCTCTCCAGAGTGGGACACTGTTACCGCAGAGGCCAAAAACCTCATCAACCAGATGTTGACCATCAACCCAGCGAAGAGGATCACAGCTGACCAAGCACTCAAACATCCGTGGGTCTGTGTAAGTGGACTTAAACCCCCAGCACTTTTCATTGCATCTCTCAAGGCTGGTTTATATTGTTGTCACCCAGCTTTTCACAATTACATCCAACAACTGGCATAATGTCATACAGCTTACACATCAGTCTGCAATGAGGTAAACATGTGCTAGCCTGTTTGGTTGATGAAAAACATCAAATGAGACTTTATATACAATTTGTATTATAAACAATCTGTCATGACGTATACGAATAAAGATTTGTCCTAAGGACTGATGTCTCTTTCCCACTTAGCAACGCTCCACTGTCGCCTCCATGGTGCATCGTCAAGAAACCGTTGAGTGTCTGCGCAAGTTCAACGCCCGCAGAAAACTAAAGGTCTGATTCATTAATTTCCAGCACAATAAGGTTCAATATGTTAACATTAGTTTATGTATTCGCTAACATGAATAAACAAAGTACAGTACTTGCAGCATTTATTAATATAGGTTAATGTTATTTCTGCATATACTGATACATTTTTTAAGTATACATTAAAATTAGTCAATTAGGAACAAACAAAGTAAAATTGTAAATTCATACATGAACATTAACCTAAATTAATAAATGCTGTAAAAATGTTATTCATTGTTAGTTAATGACACCAAATGCATTAACTAATAGTAACAAACTCAACCTAATTGTTTAGTATTACCCATTATTAATACTTTATCCAAATGAATGAATGTTTGAAAACTTTGTCCTTAGCAATGTTAATTTTGATTCCAATTCTAGATAAGATACTAAAGTAGCATTTGTGTTTCCTGCAGGGGGCCATTTTGACCACCATGCTGGTGTCCAGGAACTTCTCAGGTGAATGTCTCATTAGCTTCAGACGTATGAGTGAGACTTGTGCTCATGAATTGAGGGATCAGTATGTTACGTTTATGTAGTTCTTTCGAAACTTTTGATTTTGTAATCTGGCCCCACTTTCCTGACTGCATAGAGGCATTTGGGCTTTGCTTTAGGTTGCTTTGTTAGGATACAAATTGGGTAAGTTTTCCTTGTGATACCGGAAAGGCTGAGCTTCTGCCTTGAGTCAGCCTCTCCAAAACGACATGCTCTTTTGTCCAATAGTGGGTCGGCAGCACACCAGCCCCGCCGCCCCCACCACCAGCACAGCTGCACTGGCACAAGAAGGTACGTGAGATGGGAACTAGGGGGCCGTTGCCCACTTTCAGCCTCAGCATGTGACCAAGGGGAGCCTGCTATACCCTTGCCAACACACGGGCACTGAAACTCTTCTGAGAGGCTATTCGCTATGCAGAAAATACATAACACACGCTCCAGGGTTTGGGTTCGTTGACTGAATTTAGAATATTTAAATTCAAATTTGATTCAGTAGAAGTCTTGAGTGAAATTTAAGTGAATTGACAATATAAAACAAGCTCAAATTGAAATTAAGTCACTCCCAACCCTGAGACGCATTCGTATCCCTTTGTGCTTCATGACTTTTGACCAAAGTCTAGGATGAAAGAGCCCTCCTTTCCTGTCAGAGGCGACCTTTGCATTCAGCCTGCACTGAATGTCTTTACAAAAATGCTGTGAACTTGTCAGAAGATGTTTTGTGGCATTGTCAGCAGGTTAGGATGGTAAGAAGAGTATCACAAAAAATGTATTATGCCTTCCAAGTGGTGTCTCTCTGGAAACATAATGCATTATGGGTCTGTGCTCTTGGTGATGGTCCAGGGATGCTCCGGTGGAGGTATTTCAGCCAGAGTCACCTTAAGGAACGGCGTTATACTTAAGAGTTGCATTACAGATTTAGTTGCCTTGTTTTATGTTGATGGTTTCTTAAGGTGGCTCGTTCTCCTTGTATACCTCAGTCCAAAGTCAGGTCGGCTTATGGTCAACCAACTGCACTGGTATGAAATTGTGGGTGGATGCTGACATGCATTTGCCTGTAGTAAGAATGAATGTCTACATCATGTATGTATTAGCATGCTCTTAAGGGAAGACTTATTGAGAAGAACCACTCTACTGAAGTCTTCACAGTGGGGATCGCTGTGGCGTCCCTCAGAAGTACCTTTCAGCATGTGTTCGGGTGTCTTTTATGTGCATGGAGGACCCGAAGCAACAGGAACCACATGTCCTTTTGTCTTGCTTTTAGTTTATTTCTTAGTTTCTCGCCTCTTCATATACGTCTTAATGAAAGTGGCATGTCTGTGAATGCTCTGCCAAGTGCTTCTGTTGCTTTACAATGATACTTAATAGTTGCAATGGTTTATTTAAGCCTCAGAAGTACATATGATTTAATAATCAGAGGCAGTTGTTGACGATGTGATAGACTGTTATATCAGCCAGGCCATTTAATTAGCTGCTATTTGACTATTTTGAGAGCACCGTCCAATAAGCATGCCCACTTATGAGTTCCTTTAATTTGAGCAAATTTGTGTATGTCTCAGTTCCTGTCATCGTAAGATTTTAAGAAGTCTCTTTATGTTCACCAAGGCTGCATTTCTTTGTTCAAAAATACAGTTAAACAGAATTTTTGATTAATATTATTACCATTTAAAATAACTTTCTATGTTAACATATTTTTAAATGTAATTTATTCATGTGATGGCAAAGCTGAATTCTCAGCAGTCATTACTCCAATCTTCAGTGTCACATGATACTTCAAAATCATTCTAGTATGCTAAGAAACAGCATTTATTTGAAAAATAGAAGTATGTTGCGATGTAAAAGGCTTTACTGTCACTTTTGATCAATTTAATGCATTCTTGCTGAAAATTTTTTTTTATTTAATCTTACTGACCCCAAACTTTTGAACAGTAGTGCATATAGAAGCACTTTATTGGCCATCAGCCACCATGCTCTCTATTAGAAATGGCATTGACTATCTAATAAACCTCTTATCAGTCCACCACTAATGCTAAAGTAGTTTTTGATCCATTCCATGCTATCAACAAGTGCAGCACACAAACTCGGTTGACCCCATTATACAATTTTAATTACAAGGCCAGTTTAATTACGAGCACAACAGCTGAACAGGTCAGAAAAAAAAGACTTATCGTCCAACCACTCAGTCCTCTAATGAATCAGCAGTTCAGCTCTAATGTGCTAGAGTGAATTGAAACAGACATTGGTCTTGTGCAGGAGAAATGCCTTCAAGTGATGACAGCAGGCCAGACAGGAGATGCCTCTGCACAGCATGGACCCAGCATGAACAGAAACTCCTCTAGTTTTACTTTGATTTGCTTGATTATTTTGTTTGCCACAGCTATTTTTCTTTTTAACAATCTGTTGATTGGTTTATCTGACCTTTTTCCCTTTTTGCATTCTTTCCTACCTCTGTCTACTTTAAAAGGTAAGGGAATTTGGGGATAATACTTAGAAAGTCTACTTGTGTCCTTGTATGGTTTTTGTTTGTGCATATTGGCATTGTGTCTCATTAGATCAGTTTCGTTTTCAAAAACCATGTTTCTGTTTATGAGAACACAGAATAAGATGTGCTCATAAAATATGTTTCATATCAAACTGAGGTGGTCTTTCACATTTCTTGGTGGAGAGAATCTTCTAGTCCCGTTTTATGGTACCAGGGCTTTGGCGTGTGCTTGTTCACTGGATATAGGTGCCATTTCATTGCCCTATGGATGGTTATTCTGGTCCTGTGACTCGTCTCAACCAGTGTTATTTTAGTATTATTTATATACTATTAGAGTATTTATTAATATTTTGAATGAACTTTATTTTCAGTTTTTAGTTTTAGTAATTTTGTTTTGTGTTTTTGTCATTTTTATTAGTTATATTAGTTTTATTTGTTAATCTAAATAGATAGATTGTAGATGGTAATTTAATTTATATAGTTTTAGTAATTTAGTACCTGATCTTAAACTTATTTCAGTTAATGCCAAGGAAACAATTTCATTTTTTTTCATCTAATATTTATATTTTATTTTATTTTATTTCAATTACTGAAAATTTTTTAAATATTTTTAGTTAGCAATACCATTACACTAAAGGAGCGACATTCCTATGTCAGGAACTATTCAGTTCATCAAATGTTTGAGCATTTCTAAGGTTTTTTTGTTTTTGTTTTCTCTCCTCTCATCTTTCAGCATGCAAAAGTTTACTGAACAAGAAGTCTGATGGCGTGAAGGTAAGCCCCACACACGTTTTAAAAATCTTTCTCATTACTTAAGTTCTTGAATCAGCATCGGAATCATACAATTTTATGGTTTTGTTAACATAAAGAAATGCACAATTCTACTCCAGTTTTAATGTTTAAAAGATTTGTCCTGTCATATTGATTTTTCTTCTTTAAAGGACATATTATAAACAGAACTGACAGTCAAGCTAACCGGCAAATGGTTTGCATAAAACCAAAGAGATTAAACACTCTCTGTTTCTAATTTAAAATGATTAGCTGCTTACGTTTTATTAGGCTGATATACTTCAATGTGATCTTGAATAATATCCCCCCAAGGAGACCTAAGCAAAAACCATTCAGCATATTTAGACTATTCATGATATTTGCCCATTTGTCAGTCCTGAGTCATGGCAAAATCTGTTGAAGCAGAGAGACTTACTCAGCCCTGTGCCGTCTCTGTGCATGCAGTGAATCGTCTGCCTTTCACCAAGCAACCGAGAAGCAAATACTTGAAATGAAAGAAGTCTTATCAATAAATCGATTTCAGCAGTTTAACACTTTTCAACTGTTGCCTCTGTCACATCACACATGGCTTTGCAACTTCTTGTGGTTGTTTATTTTTCTTCTCTCCTCTCTGTGGGATCTAACTAGCAGCTTTATTTTTTTCTGTGTTCACTGGCCTGTTTTTTATGCTTCCCTCTTTTGCCCTCCTCTGTTTCACCCTGTTCAGAAAAGGAAGTCAAGCTCCAGTGTTTATTTGATGGTGAGATCTGTTCCGTGTCTCTCCCCTTTTTCTGACTCTCCCTCAACACTTTCTCACTCTCTGGCTCTCTTTTTCTTCTTGTTTGAGATGCTCGAGAGTTTGTTTGGGTCTTTTTTTTTTTTTGTCTCATTGTAGGATTTTGTGAGTCATATGATCATCAAACATTAACAGAGTCATGTTCACCCATTCAACTCTGTTTTATTACATACACGCATTTATATTGTAAGCCTATTCTCCTTGAAACTCATTCTTCATTACCATTGCATCTCAGTGCTTTCTTGGTTTGCCAGACCAGGGTTTCTCCTTGACCTAAGTTTGGTCTGTCTTCTGCAAGCCCTTGATACATCCTGTGAGCTTCCTCCAGCTCGACGGGCCTTTTAGAATCAGTAGCATGTAGCCAATGTAGCCAATTATAACCAGGGCTGAAGTTTGCTCAGAGTGGACAAAGGACTCTTACTTGGTGCTCTTCAATAGGAAAGAGAGAATTTAAATGCTATTGGAACAGACTGTCTAAAGACACAGACAAACAAGCCTTTCTCTCACTGGAACTCCCCTTTTTCCCACAGTCCATAGTGTGTCAGGCGATTTCTGTTGCCATGGTAATAGCTGCAGTGGCTGTGACATCAGGTTTGTCCTAACAAGTGATAAGCCCCTTGTTACGATTTTAAAAAATATTTTTTTCTATTTATCTTTTTTTATTTTTATTTTTTTATTGTGATGATGTTTAATTATCCATATGGATTTCAGTTAATTTTTTTTCCTCGAAGAATAAATACATTTTCCTCTGTCGGTCAAGAGATTGAAAGTAAATTACAGCAGCAGCAGTTGATGTCTGTGAGTTAGACATGGCCGTTCTGTTTTAGCCTCATCACAGGGGAAGTTCAGTTCTACATTTTTATTATCTAACAAACATCATTGAGACGTTTGTGCATAAATTGCCATTTCTCAAAATGTCTTGAGTTTCTCCATCAGGTCTGGACATATGCACACCCTGACCCCTCTCTGCATTCATGGTCCATATAATCAAGTAGATCTGATCCTTTTCCAATGAACTATTTGTGGTCTTGAAATCTAATAATAAACATAAAGGTCACCCAATCATAGATTAAGTGATTCCAGTTAGACTCTTGGATACAAGAATCGATCATCTTTAAAATCGTATATTTAGTTATACATTTTTAAAAGCTTACATCATTGATTATATTGTATTATATTATATTATGCTATTAGAAAAATAATAATATAATATTTGAATAAAAATATATATTATATGTTTTATATTAACATAAAATATTATTAAAAGTTCTTTGTAAACATCTAAATTTTTGAAATTGATAGAAAATTGACACATATTTTTCAGAAATGGGGTTATATAGTGGCAGCTAGTTTGTAGGTCATCCAATGAAGACTGAATGCATAAATAAAGCAGTTTCTTTAAAAAATCTCCTTTTCTTTATGGCTCTTGAACTTTTGGCTGCTGTTTTGCTTCAGTCTGTTTGATCAGTGTTTGTTAACCTGTTGAATCTTTCTGTAAGGATTCTTGAACATTCTTCTCAAGAATCGTCTCTGTTTTACCGACGCCTCTTTTGTTTCTTTCCTATAGTCAGACTTTGTTCTTTTTTTTAATCATAAGTTGTACCCTGCATTGATTCACAGAGTCAGAGGTCTGAGCGTAAACTCTTCTCGCTGAAGCTTTTCACTGCATGCACTAGTGGACTATCAGGGTCTTGTGGCTCCATGACAGTAACATCAGCCTCTAGTTGTTGTTACTGTGCCAACAAAATAGTCTATTTAAATATTTCTGTAAATACCAAACACTTTATCTGTAGCCTTGAAACATTTCTTTGATTCTGATTTAATTCTGTTTTTTGGCACTGGAGGAGGAACTGTTGTATCCATCTTCATGGATATATTCTAATATATATAAATATATTTACACATTTATCAACACTGTAACAAATTCTCTCCACATAGATGTTTGAAATATGCTTACATACACATTTACTGAATTTACTTTATTATTATTGTTATTATTAAATAATTAAAAAAATAAAACATTTTAAAAATTAAATGATATGCTTTATTCTCTGTAGTCATATTTTGTTGAACAGTTACAAAACCACTGCCCAATTATATAGTATAACAATAAAGAACATAACCATGTAAAGGACGCTTACTGGCTTCTTTTGTCCAGCCTCCATGTTTTATCTTTGTTTTTATCAAGAACTGTAATGTGATTTACAGATGCATGAGAATTGCTTCATTATTTTTCATTTTGTACTATTATCCACCATCGGTAGTTTAAATCTGTCATTTCGTATAATCTGCGTACCTCTCACAAAAACAAGACCATACAGTTGAGCGTCTTTCATTAAGTCAAGTACAGCTAAAACGGCTTATTTCATCAAAGTGTATCATTAAAGGGCACATTACATGAGTGTTCTCTTACTTCTAAGCAAATTTACCCATACAGGTCCCCTTACGTGCTGTATTGTGGCTCGACGTGTCGAGTATGAGTTGAGGCTGTCGGTTCTTGAATGCCACTAAACAAAAGTCATTTTGTGTTGTCATTGTTTTTTTGTTTTGTTTTGTTTTTGCCCCAGCCACAGACAAACAACAACAAAAACAGTGTAGTAAGCAGCAGCACCAAAGACAGCAGCATATCATCCACCGCACCAATGGTACCTCATCTTAACTTTTTATTTATTTCACTCATAGTCTTGCCTATTCTTAGTCTTTAAGTCTATGTTTAGTAAAAGGCTTTATCAGTTTGTCCCATACCTGTTGTTTTGACTTCCACCACCCATCGCTCAATCCACTCAGATGAAGATGTGTGACGTTGCTCATGGTTTTTGATGAGTTGAACTAAAACATCTGGTTTGTGCCTGTGGATTTCTCTCTGGCTTCCTATTTTACCCAAACAAACTCGCAGGAGAAGTTTGACAGCTTAACAGACAAACCCTGTACTTAAAAACAACTTCAAATAACTTTTCTTTTTGCTCTGGCCATATTAAAGTGAGATGACACCTTTTTAGGCTAGTGGAATGTAGATAAACCCTAGTTGCACCTTCTCTTAATCTCAGTCGAGTATCCCAGGGTAAAACAGGATCATTTTATATCAGGAAGCAGAGCTGTTCTGTTTGTTCTGAAGATGCAGTCCCTGACTTTGCATTATGGGTAATTGCTCCTTTGACTGACGAATGGCTGTTACAGGTACGGCCCAGTTTACAGCCTTCAAAGGACATGAGACATCTAAAAGTCTGAGATCATTATATATTATCAGCATAAAATGTGAATAAAAACAATTTAAATACCAAAATATTTAATTGAGATATATATAATGTTTAATTGAATATTATTTGAATATTAAATTCAGTATATCTCAGTGTTTGGTTTTGTCCTCAACTCCATATTCATGTTATGTCAGTTTCGTTCTGTGTTTTAAATTTTCAGTAAGGTCTCAGACTTTTGGACACTACAGTGTCCCTGTCCTCATGCTACACTCTGTGATTGACAAGTGTGCCCATCCTGCTCCCCGCACAGACCTTGAAGTTGCTCGGGCTGACAGGCGATGAGGGTTTTTGTCTGAAATGCATCAGAGGGAATGAATTTGTAATTGCCTTTCAGCATGTAGGGACTGCATCTTCAAGTCTGCATTGACAGGTTGCTTATTAGAGGGTGTTGTGTTAGTGGTGGTGGTGGTGTAAATAAAGTAGAATCTAGTGCGCAAGACCGTTTGTTTATATGTGGGGTGTGTATGTGCAAAGGTGGGATCAATGCTTTGTTTTTTCAGGAGAAATAACATACTGTGGCATTGAAAGCTAACTGTTTGTGCAATGTTAATCAATTCTGTTGTGTCTGTGTGCTGTTGGTGACTGGGGTTGGTCTTGGAGAGAGTCTCGTCAAGCTTAATGAATACTTCTTCCACTGTGTTTCTGTGGTTAACTGTACCCAGTCCTTGCTTGCATATCCACTGACCTTCAGTTGTATAATGTCCTTCTTTACAAAAATTGTAGTTATTGTGCACAGTGGCCTCAAAGTATTTAGACACCTAACTCGCACTTAAACATGTATGAATACCATTGCATGTAGCTTTTTTTTTTTTTTTACATTAATGAATTTATTTTTAATTTGAATATTTTATTTATTGTTATTGATATTTCTGGTTATCAAACAACAGACCAAGTAGTATTTATTTTAAAGAAATATAGCACAAACACGTTTATAAATGTATTATAAATAAAACCACATAACAAACAAACAAGTGTAATAAATAAATTCTATTTTTTTTTATCACTGTTTCTGGACATCACACATTATGAGTCATTATGATTGATTGATTGATTGATTGATTGTCAAACATTACTAGATCATGTTCATTATATAACAAAACACCAAGCCAAGTGGCATTTTATTTTAAAGAAAAATTGCACAGGCATGTTTATTTATTTATTACTTTTTAAATTATTTATATTAATTAATTATTATTTAGTATTTTTATTATTTTATTTGTTTGTTACTGTTATTTCTGATTAGCAAACATGAGTGTAACATGCTATAACAAAACACTAACACAAGTAGCATTTATTTTAAAGAAATACAGCACAAGCTTGCTTGTTTGTTTGTTTAACATAAAAACATACAAGCAAATAATAGTAAATATCACTTTTTGTATATTTTACATTTTGGGCCACTGTATCCACCTTTTTCTTCAACGTGGAAGTAAGCCTATGGGTGAGACTTCCGGTTCATTAGCCACTATAGGGAAATAACGAGAAGAATAACAACGTGCAGTAAACGGTAAAACTGTTTGCACTACAAACCAGTGTGTTCATAATTAAGATAATACATTAAAATAATATGGTAAGACACACCAATTTTCAATATCAAGCAGGAAAAGGAGCGATTTTGTACAGCTAAAAATAGCTGGACGCCGATGAGACCGGAAGCTAGACCCATAGAATTTACAAATGGCCGCGCCCATTTTTACGGCAAGAAAAAGGTGGATACATATTATTAACCTAAGTAGCTCAAATGCAGAATTCCCCAATGTCAGCGTTTGATGTACATTCTGGCTACTGACAATCATGACAGTAGTACAGTCTCATCATGCTAGTTGTGGAGTTAGGGTCCCTACACCCTCTTACCTCAGCCCTGCATGGTAAACTCTCTCCTGCCTCCCCCAGGAACCACAGACCACTGTCGTGCACAATCCAGCCGATGGCATCAAGGTAAGCCACCTCTTTTAGCTCTGCACTGAACACCAGTCATTTGAGCTACTTCCCCTAACCTTCACAAATATCACTCAAATGAAGGGGGCTTGCCCTCATGCTGGGTTGGCTGGTTTGTGCAGGGCTTGGTGTGTTTCTGTGAGAGCTCAGTTTGTGTGTGAGGGTGTGCTGGGGTATATCTGTGCTTGCGGGTGGTTCTTTATATGTGTGTATTTGCTGATTTACAGTGTGCACTGTATATTGTTCCACATAGTTTATAGACCCTGTCTGCAAACCTGTATTTCTATACTTATTTTCCTGTCTTCCCACCATCCTACGATCAACCCTCCATCTTGCATATTGTCTCTCTCTCGTCACAGGGGTCTACAGAGAGCTGTAACACCACAGAAGAGGAGGACATGAAAGGTAGGAAAGGTACACTATCAACTCCTCATGTATTCTGCATGTCTTTCTCTTGTTCTCTGGGATCTACAGAATGGGGTGTGTGTGTATTGGTGCAAATATTAATTAAAAAGGTCATTAGTTAGTGTATTAAAGACCCTTTTTACACCTGATATTTAGATCTGTCCAGTAACAACAAATTTGTGGGCAGGGTCTTGGATTTTGTGACTACAACAGTTCTGTGCAGAAGATGCTTCACCAAAACGTTGCTTTCAAGACTATTTGTATCTTTTGCCTAAGTGTGTCAGTAGGTAATATCAGTTTTAGATTTCCAAACATTCCTTTTGCAAATTGTAATTATCCACTGAGATTATTGTTTGACCAAGTAGTCCGACATTAGATGGTATCGTTGAAACATAGATATGAGCTTCGCATCCGCAAACTTGGCCCTGGAGGGCCACTGTCCTGCAGAGTTTAGATCAACCCTAATTAAACACACCTGAACCAGCTAATCAAGCTCTTGCTAGGCATACAAGAAACTTCCAGGCAGGTATGTTGAGACAAGTTGGAGCTAAACTCTGCAGGACACCGGCCCTCCAGGACACCCCTGGTTTAGACCTACCCTGAGAAAACTCACCTGCCTGCAACCTTATAGTAATCCTGAAGACACTGATTAGCTGGTTTAAGTGTATTTGATTAGGGTTGGAGCTAAACTCTGCAGGATACCAGCCCTCCAGGATTAAGTTTGCCCATCAGATTGCCCATTTTCAGATTGTACAAAAATGTATGAATGAGATTGTATGAATTCATCTGAATTTGCCACCAATTCACCAAAATATAAAAGTTACGAACTGCCATGAGTGTGTTCCATTTACTCACCCTCATGTTGTTTTCATACCCATAAGATTTTAATTTATCTCAGAAACACAAACGAATATACTATTAATGAAACCTGACAGATTTCTGTCCCTCCATTGAAAGCCCATTGATGCGTTACAAAGTTCATAAAGATGGTAAAAGAAATCCGTATTAATTGAGCAGTTTAATCCAAGTCTTTTGAAGAGACACGATCACTGTATATGATGAACAGATTTCATTTAGCTTTTATTCACGTATAAACATTGATCAACGCACATCAAATATGGTAAACGGAGGCCCAAATGTGTTTTCTTGATGCATATGAACTAATGAGATTTGTTATCGAGTGTCAAGCAAGTACAGTTGAGTTTCCATTTACCATATTTGATGAGCACTATGTGTGTTGATCATTGTTAATTTGTGAATAAAACCCTGTTTTTAATGCATTTTATACTACAAATTCAATGTTTTTTTTACTACCTCTGAATGTGATTTCAGTAAAAGGATCATGAAATGCTTTGGACAGACTTTATTACCAGGTGTAAATGGGGTCAAGAGTTGTACACTTTCCCAACACTTAAAGAGAAATAGTGGTAATGAGGGCCAGAGGGAATAAATAGATACAGATACAGGCAGTGAATGATTGACAGTCAGATTTATTCCTGTGCGGTGAAAGGACCTTCATGGCATGATAATTGCTTTGCGTGTGCATTGACATCCAGCTCATCAGCTGTAGATACATTGCTGGTCACTACAGCAGCAGCTATAGTGTAGTATAAGGCACCAAAACAGGGTCAGACTGACTGATTGCTATCATGAATCAGCACAAGCTTTCATATGCTGTGAATGCCAGAGTTACCATGACACTGATGAATCACAAAGTTTTGTGTTCGTATAATGAATGTCCACAATATCTGAGGGAGTATTCGTTTTACTGCACTGACCTTTACAGACAACAAACACCGCTTTTGACAGAGCCTCTGTATCACATCACACAGTATGATGTCTAACAGAGTCACATGGTGATTTATTACAGCACGGCAATATTACACAACAGTTCAACTCAATTATACACAACCTTGGCATCATTCATCATCGGATTGGTCTTTTTGTTAAATTCTAAGTTATTCTGAGCTTTTATATTATCTTTTGACGGCTGTAGGATAATAAAACGTTACCTTACTTTAATCACTTCTATTAAATCTGGGAAACACACGCAGAGGTTTAATAGGTCACTAGAGCTTTAGAATCATTCATTACTTAACACTAATCTAAGTTTGAGGGTCAGGCAATAACTGGGACCTAACCCTCAGAGACCCAAGCTTTTTTTAAAGAAATGAATAATTTTATCAGCAAGGATGCATTAATTTGGTTTAAAAGTGACAGTAAAGACTTTTATAATGTTATAAAATATTTGTTTCAAGTAAACGCCCCTTTAAACGTTTTATTTTATTCATCAAACAATCTGAGACTGTATCACGGTTTCCACAAAAATATTACACATCACAACTGTTTTCAACATTCATAATAAGAAATGTTTCTTGAGCAGCAAATCAGCATATTAGAATGATTTCTGAAGGATCATGTGACCCTGAAGACTGCTGAACATTCGGCCATTATAGGCATATATTAAGTTTCAAAATAGATAAAAATATAAAGCTGTTATTTTAAATTGTAATGATATTTCACAATATTTCTCTTTTCACTGTATTTTTGATCAATTAAATGCAGCCTTGCTTGCTAAGTAGAAAAGACTTCTTTCAAAAATATTTAAAAATCTTACCAAGCCCAAACTTTTGAATAGTTGTGTGTGTATTTATAACAAACTGTTTAAAACACAAACTGCATAAAACTTGTCATCATGATGTTTTATCCATTTTTTGTTTTGGGATGGATTTGGAAAAAAATGTTAGACAGTTTTCATAATCGGGTTTCAAGGTAACAAAATGTACCTGTTTTACCTAGTTTTATCTCACATTTATTTTTTTATTAAGTATTTAATTGCTTAAAATAACTGTTGCAGTTCTTCCAACAGTGGACCTCTGAGGGATAAACCTCAGAAACCATTCACTTGCGTCATAGCAGAGAGATCTCACATTCTATACCAGGGTGAAAATACTGTATGTCCCAGACAGAGAAGTCTTTCAGCTTTTTCTAAAACTCTGTGTAAATACAAACAGTTGTATAACATGTCCTTGTATAGAGGTATTAGAGACTTCAGGGTTTAGAAAATATTGCTTATTTTGAATTTACTTTTTTTTTCACATAACTTTACCCTTTATAGTAATTGCGGTTACACTTTATTTCGATAGTCCCACTTTAGACATTCTACTAACTATAAGTAACTTTGTAACTACATGTCAACTACATGTCAACTAATTCTCATTAATTTGCAACTACATGTCTACTAACTCTCAGAGTAGACTGTTAGGGTAGGTTTAGGGTTAGTAGAATAAGTTGACAAAGAAAGTGTTAGAAGATATTAAGCAGACAGTCTACTAATACTCTACTAACTGCTAGTTGACATGTAGTTGCAAAGTTACTTACTGTTAATAGAATGTCTAAAGTGGACTATCGAAATAAAGTGTTACCATAATTGCTTTTTGCTTTTAAGTTGCATGAACATTATGTTTTAGCATGTGTTTTTTGTGTACTCTATTGTGTCTGCTGTTATTTTTGGACGATTATCATGCAAATTGTGTCATCATTTCATATATAAATATAGCACAAAAGCCAAGCTGGAACAAGGCTTGTGGTATAATTTACCACAACAAATGTCACATTTTCCCCCCTAATTGTCTGTCAGTATCGGTGGGTGGGGCTAGCAATGACAGTGCAGTGGTGAGCCAGTGCAGTGCCTCTGAGGAGCCAGCTCCTCAACCCGAGGCCTCTCCCCCCTGCCCACCGCCCAGTAAGTCAACTGCTACAGCAGTGGCCTTATCAGCTGTTTCTACAACTCCCTCTTGGACTCATCTGATCTCTACCTCACATTCTCTGTCCCACTGTTCCCACTGCTAACTTAGTTTCTCACCTTTCTAACCTTGTCTTTCGTATTTCAGAAGGCGGGCCTTCATTTGATACAGGAACTATTCGAGCCGTTCATGCCAGACTGGGGAGAGAGGTGTTGTAATAATGTAAAATATGTGAAAAATAATGTGTTTTTCAAACAACCTAGTATGAGAGCCTGTTCTAGTACACCCCCAAAACAAAATCAAGACTTTATAAAAGAGCATAATAGGACCCCTTTAATATGCTACAAAATGAATCTGGCTGAGATGGACTCACTGGACTTCTACATTGTTAAATGCCCTAATTTTATGGTTTGGTGTCATTATGAAAGGGGTCATATGATACATTTTATATGTATTATTGATGTTGTTTTTATTAGTTTTGTTTCCACAAAAACATTAGTTCAGTTTATTTTGCACCCTCTCTCTGACCCTTGAATTAAACAATTTTTGTTGCTCTGCCATTATGAATTGTCCACTCAGACATGGGCAGCATATTTGCTGCTCAGATGTGAAGGCATAAACGGATATTATATAAGTATACTGAATACTGTATTTAAAGTATTCATCTGTGTCTGTGTGATGCAGGAAGGTTGCAAGTGTTTGGATTGAGTCGTTTTAGTAAATTTTCTTTTTGTACTGAGTAGAAAGTAAGAGTTAAAATTTAAGTTACAGTATGTTTTTGTAGTATAATATGAATTACAAATCAAGGAAAATTTGATTCCTTATGATATGACCCCTTCAAGACAATAATATTGTCATTGTAGTACTTAAAAATAAAAATGCATGCCACATGATCTGCTGTAATCGGCATTGTACACTTATTAGCACAATCAAGGACAGAGATCGTCACCTAATTTTGAGTCTCTCGCAGTGAGTCTACCATTATGCCCTGTACTCTTGTACATCCTCACCTCTGACATGGAAAGAATTGCACTGACCTTCTCAGTCAGAGTGACCTTTTCATTTATTTATCTGTGTGACACTGAATACTTTGAGTGTGACAGATGAGCAGAGGGCCCGTGCTGGGACTGTACATGACAGACATCTCTCAACACATGCACATACTGTGCATAGATCTGTGTGGCTATTACTCGTCTTGTGTTCTTCATTAACTCCTGCCGCTTATGCTTCTGTTGTATCATCTTTGCATCTCTGTCTTGGCTGCATGTTGAGTTCAGCGGCTGCTCAAACCATTGAACCAGACTGCTGCAGGTTTCTGTTTAAAAAAACCACGAGGTCTGCCACCATCTGCTGGACTGTTCAAACAAACGCTACCAGCTCTCTGATTCAGTATGTTGCGGTATTGCTACTGTAATTCTGTTTTCATACTTATCAGTTCTGCCAGTGTGTATGTTTTCTGTTCATTAATCAAATTCAGTAATCATCTAATTACTGAATTTATTTCTTCAGTGTTTTCTGTGTGACATGCAGTAAATAGCAGTGCAGTGGTTTAAGCATCGATTGCATTAGCTTGATATTCCATGTAGCATATGATATAATCTTGGTCAGTGGTTCTCAGCCGTTATAGGATGGTTTACATCTTGTTTTTATGTGTTTATTTGTTAGCATTTACAAATAAACACACAACCCCCCGCCCCCAAGCGCCCCTAGTGGGCCCCAGTCCCCTGGTTAAGAACCACTGATCTGGATGTATGAATTAGTGACTGAATGTTTGGAACAGAACACTAGCAGTATACACTGTATCATTTTTTAAAATATTGTTATGTGAAAAATAGAAATCGAAAAACGGAAATAAAATCTAAATGTATAAGTAAAACATTTTAATTTTGTATATATTTTTTAGACAATTTTCTGATCAGATAATGAGTCAAGAAAAGAAAACAATTAATTTATTTTGTTAAATAGAAATAGAAAGGTGAAATGAAATAGAAATGAAAAGTGCATTTGAATGCATTGCATTGTGGGATGTAGTATTCCACAGTAATCTCTGTTTAATACTGCACATACTGTCAAATGTAATAGGTTATCCAGATATTTCATGCATAGAGAAAATTTGCATATTGTGCACCATATACATACAGTACTATATACTGAAGCCGTAGTAAGGTAGTATACTGTTCTGAAGGCAGCATGTGTCTCTATGTAGTACTCATTTTGTTTGTCATACTTTTGTTTTGCTGTGGCCTAGCATCTCTGTGTACGTAGTTGCAGATTTGTTTATTTGTGCCGTTGTCTTGCAGCCGATCCACCACATGATGTTAAGAATGTAGCTTGGAGCAGTTCAGGTCAGAGCTCCTGTCCTGATTTAGAGCCTGCTGTACCTGCTTCAGCCTCCACAACACCAGGGGGCAGCAGCGTGCACAGGCAGCAGTGTAAGTCTTAGACTGTTGATTCAGTGACAAATATAATTAAAGGTGCTGTATGTAAGTTTTTGACTCTACTAAAGCATAAAAATACCATAATATGTTTGCAGATATTTAAGAAACATGCTAAGTTAACATACTTGTTTATCTGAAAAACAATGCTACAGTCAGTTATTCTCCTTTGAAAATGTGCGTTCCGGGCCGGAATGTCGGTCTCTGTTTTGGTTTGTGAAACCCGCCCACTGCCAGTTTACCCAATTGTATTTCGGCACCCCGGGTTGCCAGTTGGCGGGAAACACAGCGTATTTCATTTCAGTCATGGAAGCTGGCAAACGAAAGTGTTGGTGTCGTCAATCTTGCAACCTGCGTGTGCTTCAAGTCTGAGGAGGAGGGACCGGGTGAAAAAAACCCTCTCCAATATTTTGAATTTGGACTGCAATACCTAGTTCAACCACTCGGTGTCAATCCTACATACAGCACCTTTAAGTTTTGTTTTGTTTTTCTAAATGTAAGTCCTGACATTCCCTCTGGGTTTACCAAAGTCCCAGCAGTTCACACCCTATAACAGTTCTCTAGCGAAACATGTCAATCCAAAGGGATTATTAGCTCATGCATGTGTTAATCTGTGATAACAACCGGCTGGATGTACATTATCCCTTACATATAAGTCATTCAAGACCCCTGCTTATACTAAAATCAGGGTCCCTTGGAAAATAGTGCTTATCTTGAAGGACAGCAACCCATTCACAACTAATAGTATGCTGAGCTGAATGTGAGATTTCAAGAGCAGATAGTTAGGAACAAAAAGTTGGTTTGTGATTTTTAAATAATGGTTGTGGATAAAACTTGATTGTTCCTTCTATTCCTCCAAACACCAGCACGAAAGCAGGAGATCATTAAAATCACAGAGCAGCTGATTGAGGCCATCAACAACGGAGATTTTGAAGCTTACACGTAAGTACTGTTTATATGTGCTGTTTTCATCTGCCATACCACTGATTACACAGATTTGTTTGCACTGTGCATTTTATGGATTTTCATAATTTTTGTTGGTAGATTTTGAAGTACTTATAAATTGAACTAAAATCATGCATAAGTGATGATTTCATACATTTATGGAATAGTTTTCTACCAAACTTGAGAAAGTACACAAATAATAGACAACAAAATCTGTGAGCATTAATATAGCTCATACAGCAAATACAATATCTTGTATTAAATTACAGGTACAAACACCTTATTTATGATGACGAAATATTTTTGAAAATCTTGTTTTATCAGCATTTTAAGTGGGTATTGTATCTTAAAAAGCACAAGCATGTTTGCTTATAACATGCATGAAACATTTTATGAAATATTTATTTTAAATGAACAACTTGTTAAAATGACCAACAAATGAGTTGTTGACATTTTCTGTGGAATTTGAATCATTGTTGTAATAATGCGCAAATTTGTGCCTTTTAGGTAAGATTATGCCAATTTCCATACTTCCCATTTTTAAATGGGTAAAATTAAACATTCTAGATGTGTGGGGGGTATTGAGTCAAAAACCGAATAGTAGTTTGCATTGTCATCTCAGTAACCTTTACTGTTCCAGGAGGATCTGTGACCCTGGCCTGACCTCTTTTGAGCCCGAGGCACTTGGAAACCTGGTTGAGGGAATGGACTTCCATAAGTTCTACTTTGAGAATTGTAAGCCCCATGCTTTTTAATGTACTAGTGTCCAATAAAGTTGTATACATTTGCTGTACCTATTAATAACATGCTTAATAACATGCTTTCTGCAGGGCCAATGTCCTGCAGAGTTTAACTTCAACCAGCTACAACACACTTGCCTGGAGGTTTCTAGTGAGTTTGAAGACCTTGGTTAACTGGCTCAGGTGTGTTTATTTAGGGTTGAAGCTAAACTCTGCAGGATAGTGGCCGTCCAGGAAAAGGTTTGGACAGCCCTGAGTTAAAAGGTATTAAAGCTAACCTGTTAGGTGTAGATAACTGAATATATCTTTGTCTGCTGCCTGTGTTTGACTACAGTGCTGAGTAAGAACAGTAAGCCTGTGCATACAACCATCCTGAACCCTCACGTGCACCTGATTGGAGAGGACGCCGCCTGCATCGCCTATATCCGACTGACACAGTACATGGACAGCCAGGGCCGGGCACGCAGCAGCCAGTCGGAGGAGACACGCGTGTGGCACCGCCGAGATGCCAAGTGGCTCAACATCCACTTCCACTGCTCTGGAGCGCCTGCCGCACCTCTACAGTGAATCACAGAGGGCAAAGGTACTGATTAACAAACCTTAGTGCCAACAAAACAAGTGAAACATTATTTAGTATTTTTTTATATTCTCTCCATTAGCATGCCTGAATACTAAAGCTGATTGGAGCATTTCTTCTCCGTGCACGTCTTGCCGCCTGGAGCCCGGCCAGAAGAGAACCTCTTGAAGTTTTGAAAACGTGAGGGAAAAAATTGACACAACTAAGAAATATATTTAAAAGCGGCCACCACTTCAGTCCAACTCTAGCTAGATGTGGGTCGGGCGGCCACGGCAGCAGCCCTGCCTTCTGGATGCTGCATGCTTCTAATGCCCACACGGGGCGCTGTATAGTCTTTACCCATAATCCCATACTGTCTGCTGCCCAACATTCGGAAATGGTGTTTTAAAGTATTAGTAATATATTGTAAAATACTGAGATCTTCACTTGTGTAATTAACAGCCAGTAGAGATGGAAGTTAGAATCAGAAATGTGAATCGTTGAAGAGCACACGCCGTTTTAAGGGTAAATGATGTGAGTTTATTACATTTAAGAAAACATTTTTCTGTTTTGTTTTTCTTTTTCTTTTTCTTTTTTTACGCAAAGAATGTGATGGCATGGCATATCAGAGGGAACGAAAAAATGTATCAGACGTTGAAGCACCAAAGTGTAGACTCTAGACGTTGAGAAGAGGATGTTTTAATGTTGCTTTTATTTTCTTTGAAATTGAGGAATGGGGTTGGGGAAGATTTTTTTTCTGGCTTTCTGACGTGTTTTGGTGGATCTCTTGGTTTTTATCTTCTGAATGATGCGGTATTTGAAAGTATTTTGTGTTTTCAAGACAATTGTTTTAAAGTGGGACACGATTTAATATAGTTGTGCATAAATAGATATTTATAAAAGAGAAAGGACAAAACAGTGTGTGGTGTCCGGGGGGGGGGTGATGTGTGTGTTTGTGTACGTATAAATGTTTTTTCTTGGGTTCAAGATGCTTGTTGCTATGTAGTGTTTTGCGTAAATCTTCTTAACACACACTTCCACATGAGGCCTGAGCTCAAGTTGGGTTGGTTTACTTGCCTTCCTGTATGTTTGCACCCATAACCTCTAGGCTCTCTGAACCTGAAGTTGCAGAACCCTCACTTTCTTTGATTTCGAGTTTGTTGTATGTCTCTTGGTCCCCAGGGGGCGCTAAACACTATACACAACATGCTCATCATAAGCCCTGCTCTCCCTCCCAGAGTTACTCTGCTCACCTTTTAGGCTTCCAGCTGCTGTGCATATCATTTTTTAGACTATAAGCATGTCGAGAAAAAAACAAAAAACAAATGAAATGGCCTGTACTGTTTTGCACATAAGCTTGAGACTCTATGCTGTTCTGTTCACTTTTTGTGGACTGCTTTGCAACTTCAGGTTATGAAATCCATCCTTAGGGGTCCGTGCTCTAGAAGAAGACCCAAACTGTCACATTATCTCTCCATGAGTGTTTGTACACTTGTTCTGATGCTGTTTACGTTGTCTCATCATCATACATTGTGACTTTAAAAGACTTGATTGTGGTTTGTTAAGATCACCTGACCATCTATAGGCAGGGATTTGAATGAAAATGACTTGATGAATGCAGTTCCATGGTGTTTTGGGGTCCATTCTATGGTAGAATCTGTTCTGGGTATGTTGATCTTGTTTTATTTTATTTTTCTTCTCCAGTATAACCTGTAAATACTAATGCAGATCATTGATGAGGGATGAATCGGGAACGCTTAGCCATTCGTCTTCATCCAGATGCACGTAGACTCACAGACTTTCAGTACACACAACTCGCTGTTTTGGTAAAGAACTCACGTAGTTAAAAAAAATTTTTGTTTTGGGTGTGTTAAAGCACATGGACACATTGTGCTCCCTTTAAAGGAGGGAGATCATCTGAACACTGTTCTTGACTGTGTTATTATGTAGATTCCTGTGTGAATTGTGGAGGTTTAACGTTCCCCCTTTTATTCTGTGCTAAGCCATTTCTTGTGACATTTTACCTTTTAAAGTTGGGCAAACATTGCACCCAACTCTATATGTTCAAAAAAGGGAGGAAAGAGAGTACTCCTACCCTAAGGCATCTTGTTAGTGAGTTCACTTGTCCACAGATGAAACCGTCTGGCACTGTGATGTCTGCCATATCTTCATACTGTCCCTGCTGCAGTGTGTCTTATAACAGTGTGTTCAGCCCTAGTCTCTGGCCACTTCTGTCACTCATAGTTCATCCTCTCAGATATGAGTGTCCTTGTTTAAAAAAAAGTGCAGTTTAGTCAGTCACACATACATATAAATAGTAAATGATTAAGAGATGTTTCCAGATGCAGGAGTTCATAGTTCTTGTATTTCTTATGACTGTTAGATGGACACAAACGCCTTTGTATGCGAAGTGAATAATTCCTGAACTAAATAACTCCCACAGCCAAACCATATATGCAGTTCAGCAGAAGGAAAATATGCATGTGTAACTTTCTGGTAATAATTTTCACTGTCTGTGTTAATTAGAATTGAATTATGTCTATATTCCCTGCATCTTCAAGGTAAATGAAATGTGGCTTGGTTGGTTTCCATTGCTACAATCAAAAGCTAATTTTGTAAAGAAATGGACTAAAAGAGATTAACAAAGCTTTAGCTTGGTATGTTTCCCCATTCTTGTTCGTTTTTTGCATTGATGGGACTACATATGCTTATACTCTGAGGTTTAATTGGATGCTGGATTTTTGCATGACCATATAATTAATAAAACTATGAATTTAAATCTATCAAGTGTTTGTTTGAATGTTGTTAAACCATCATAGCTTTGTTGTTATTGAAACATTTGGAAGTATTTAATAAAACATTTCAACATCACTGTCTTTGCTCTCCTGCTCAGCGTGCATTTGAAGTAGAGACGAACGCAAATGCGTGGACTTTGCAGTTGCATGCTTAACTGATGAATTCTGATATTTCGGAAAACAAGGATGTACGAAATTGAGCTTGCACGACTAGAAGCGCCCACGTAGGCTACTGTACCTGCCTGAAGCTTTTTAGAGCTCATTGGTTTAGGGCATTAAACAGAAATGTCTTATTTATTTACTACATTAAGGCAATGTTGTCTGAGTAGCTCTTATTTCATCAGAATCACAGCTGTCACCCAGCATTTTTATGCTCAATAATGCTGCATTTATTTGATCAAATATATAGTAAAAACGGTAATACTGCCGTTTAAAACAACTGTTTTATATTGTAATATATTTTAAAATGTAATTTATTCCTGTGATGCCAAAGCTGAATTTTCTCCAGTCATTACTGCAGTCTTCAGTGTCACATGATCCTTCAGAAATCATCATATGCTGGTGCTCAAGAAACATTTCTTATTATTATCAATGTTGTAAACAATTGTGCTGCTCAGTATTTTTGTTGAAACAACATACATTTTGTTTTCAGGATTCTTTGATGAATAGAAAGTACAGAAATGTTTCGTCTAAATGTCTTTTAGACCTGCTGGTGATCAATGTCTAAATCCTGAATGTGGAAATAAAGTGTCACTAAGTCTGTTTTAATTTCCTACTCGGGTCAGGCATGTGCGTGCGTGCCTAAAGAAAGATTGATTGGACAAGTGTCCCAGTTTGGACGCCAAGAGGACAGGTCTGTTGTCAGTATGTGTACAGACGCAATGGTAAAACAAACTAGCTCTGTGATTCATCCCACGCTATATTAGAAGGTCCTGATTGTAATAATATAAAACGTAGGAAAACCTCAATTGACAGTAATCTAATTCCTTGACCACCATTTACTGAAAAGAAGGTTACATTAAATTGTATGCGCTATTTTTCAATGAGAGATTGTAAACATAAGTAAAATAACAAAGTTCTTTCAATTTCAGACTTAAATCTACTTGTCGCTGTTCTGAATTTGTCAAAAAGCTTGACCGCTTGGCAAGAGAGGCAAAGAGCTATTTTTATATCAGTAATGTACCCCCCTCCCTTTAAGCCAGCGCTGTGAGTGACAGCACAGCTGTGGTGAACTAGCTTCTACCTTCATCCAACACAAGATTCCAGTGCATAGGGAGACGCTGGGTATCTTTTCTCTTTCCCCTCTATTTTAGCTTCCTTTATGGCTGCGCCCCTATCACCAGCATCCAGCTCAGGGTATGGGAGGGGTTCCGTGTGTATTCGTATTCACGCAAGAGCAACTAGAAGGAACCCCAGGACATAGTTGCAGTAGTAGTTGGCTTCTCTAAGGGGGCCCTGAAATAACATGGACCGTAGGTACTAAGGGCCCCCAGGCCAACAAACGGAATCAAAGAAGCAAGCACAGACCGCACCATGGTGGCTGAGGAAGTTATCATCACCCTATCCGGAGGAGCACCATGGGGCTTCAGACTACAGGGAGGACTCGAGCACCAGAAGCCTCTGCAGGTTGCCAAGGTAGGATTGCCAGGAAACACAACAATGAACGTACTGTACCTCACTTTAAGTCTTTTAGTGTTATTTCAGCCCACAGTTCTTTAGTTCCAAAGAAACTTAAGATGTTTAGAGCCACCTGAAGATGTAATGAACACCAGACGCACAGGCCCCTGCACTCTTAAGTGTGGTGTGGAACTGATCCTCTACCAAAAAAGCCAAATGATTCATAGAGCTGTGAACTTTCAAGTACCATTTGAATTGAACATTAACCCCCTTAACCTTTGAGTCCTAAGTAGCTAATGTGCACCAATTGTACATTTTGTAATAGTAACAATGCAAGAGTAGATTACCAGTAACAAGCCAAGCTTATAGAATAAAACTTTGTATGTAAAACGAAGAGGAACTGAAGTATTTGCTTTTTATGACTAATAGTTAATGAGAAGCTAAACAAACATTTGTGTATCTAGCTGTTACTATGAGGAAACAAGGTGTTTTTATACTACATATAATTATCTGATACTGGTTTCTACTGTGATTTTGTAATTACTTTGTAAATAGTAGATTGTGAGCCTGTTCTATATTATAGATTAGAAATTATAATAATATATAAATAAAGGATGTTGAACTTTATGCTCTCACACACACTGTATTACTGTAGTTTATGACTTACCTTAGCCTTTGAGGATTCAGGTCATATTTAATAACATTTGCAATCATCTTTCTTCCAATTCCAGCAGACTTTGTTTTCTTTACACAGGATACAATGTCCTGTATTTAATGCATTTATCAACTAATGATAAAGTTGCTTGTTCTGGTTGATGGTCATGCTGTTGTCACGAATGTTTGTAATAGTTTAGGAAATAAAAATGGCTATGGTTATGTATTTTACTTTAATCTGACACCTAAACTGATCATTCAAACCATTAGTAACAATGGAGTATTATGGACTGTTTTCTATCTATCTATCTATCTATCCTTATCTGTTCAGGGTAGTTTGATGCGTCCACTAATCTTGGCTGTCATGAGGAGTGTTGATTTTTATTGGTAGCTAGATGCTTGTCATCAAAAGTGAATTAGATTAAACTAATGGTATGGACACTCCCCCATATCAAGATGCGGTTTAGCGACAGGGCAGCTTACAGATCCCAGTTCACCACTTGGTCCTGAATATAACCTTTGCATTTACAGCTGTATCCTAAAAACCACAGGCAACCAAGTACAGGATTAGAATCCCCAGATCACTGACCCGTATGCCATGTTTTAGTCGGCTCTGCACAATCAAAGGCCAAAGGAGCACCCAGACTATAAAATGTTCTGTTAACAGTATAGTGACTCAGGAGCTTCTTTCAGGGAAGTCGTGGCCTAATGGTTAGAGAGTTGGACTCGTAACCCAAAGGTCACAGGTTTGAGTCTCGGCACCGGCAGTGATTGTAGGTGGGAGGAGTGAATGCACAGCGCTCTCTCCCACCTTCAATACCACGACTGAGGTGCCCTTGAGCAAGGCACCAAACCCCCAACTGCAAAATGGCTGCTCACTGCTCCGTGTGTGTGTTCACTGCTATGTGTGTGCACTTAGGATGGGATAAATGCAGAGCACTAATTCCGAGTATGGGTTATCATACTTGGCAGCATGTCACACTCACTTTCACTTTACACGGTATTAAAGAGCAGAGAGCAGAGATGGGTTACAGTTCATGAACCCATCACACTGTCTATTTAAAAGTAAGTATTTATAGACTGATTATTGCATCCTCAGTAAAGCGTGAACCTGTCAGTGTGAACAAAACCACTGAAATCAGAGCCTGTCCTCCTGTGCTGAGTAAGATGACAGACAGGACAGGGCTTTGAGCAATGCCATTGCAAGGTCCAATTAATAAACAACACTGGCACATGGGCAGTA